TAGTTTCGGTTTGGAGTTGCTTAATGAAGGGAAGAGTTGATTCCAAAAATGGAGTGCTCTCTTCTGGACACAATAGCCAAAAGTATAGGAAATATTTTTTACTGACACTCCACTCCTGCATTTGGTAAATGATTTAATTACTGTGATCAAGCCCCTGGCTTTTGTAGCTAGACCGGGCACTTAACTGGCAAATACCAGTGTTCACCATTTACCTAAATTAAGTCTGGGTCATGCATCTCATCTCCTGTTTCTTGTTTGCTTTGAATGAATGCAAAAGTAGTGCTAACAGCTGGAATCCCTGCTGGGGCCAGCTTGATCTGCTCTGGAGCTGCTCCAGCCAGTGCTCTGATAAAGCTTGACATCGTTTCAACAGGCTCTAGGAGGGCCAGAATGATTTCCGTTCATTGTTTAAGGTTTCATTCAGATATTCCCTGTGCCAGGAAAAAAGATATTTCACTTCTGCTTTTGTCCTTTCCCTGTTGCTCCTAGAAAACTTTTTTTCCCTCTATTTTCTTTTCTGAAAGTTAAGCTATAGTGTGACCAATGCTTTAGGATTCTGTGGGAATTGTTCTACTTCATCTCCAGGGACTTAGCATTTCAGTTGCAAGAGGTGCATGCTGTAAATAAATAAATAATTTATTAAGGTCTCTGAGACAAAGCACATCTTCTGCTAAGAGAACATATTATGTGGAGGAGGCTGGGGAAAATCCTGGCCTTTTGCCCAGGTTTTGGTAGTAAGTAAATCACCTAAATCCCTTTAAGGATCTGGCCTGCAGTCTGGTGCTGTTCAACAGCTTTTTGATTGTGGCATTAAAAAACACTACTAATATTGCACTGATTTTTAGGCAGTCTAGTAATCTTGAAGTAATGTCTACTCTCTGAAGAGAGACTTAAGGCCTCCATAATTTTGTGTTGTACATTGACTTGAAAATGAGGTATTATCAGTCAACAGAGTTTTATTCCCATTGTGCATCATCCTTCTGGTATGGTTAGTAGAGCTCTGCTGAGCTGGGCCTCACACTGGCAGTGTAGGTGCACATCCCCTTGGCAGCAGCCGTGCCCATGGCAGAGACAAGTGTGCAGCTGCTGCAGTCCAGCCCTCCTCCCTGCCAGTCTGTCAGAGCTGCTGCCTCCTCGCCTTTGCACTCTCAGCTCCCAGGATGTCTTGGATTTGCAGGGCAAGGTTTTGGTAGCTGGGGGGCTAGATGGGTAAAAAACTGGTTGCATGGTTGGGCTTGGAGTGTGGTGGTCAATGAGTCATATTTTACCTGGAGGCTGGTAGCAAATGCAGCACGACATCATGGGACCTGTCCTGTTAATCATCTTTATTTATCAGTAACCTGAAGGAGATGGCAGAGTGCACTCTATTCAAGTGTTGCAGAAGACACCAAACTTAGGGGTACCAGCTGATGCCCTCAAGGGCAAGGCTGCTACCAAAAGGGACCCAGATGGTCTGGGGAAACAGGCCAATGGGAATCTTACAAAATTAAACACAGACAAATGCAAGTCCTGCCGCTGGGAAGGAAGAGCCCCTTGCAGTAGTACAGGCTGGGGCCTGCCAGCAGCTCTGCTTGCCTGGGAACTCACAGGTGGTCTTGGTGGATAGTGAACTGAACATGAGCCTGCAGCATGCTTTGTGCACAACAGCATACAGGGCGTTATTTACAGGAGCACAGCACATAGATTGAGGGGAGTGATTATCACCCTTTCCTCATTTCTGGGGAGACTATGTCTGGATACTGTGTGAAGTTTTCCAACTGAACTTAGTCCATCATCTCCCATCACTCTGGCTGCTAATACTGGCAAGCAATGAAAGGAGATGTCAGAGGAGTGGGAACAAGACTTATAATTGCAATAGCTTTAGTGGTGATCTGTTTCACTCCCAGGTAGCCCCAATAGTGAAGAAGTAACTATGAAACAAAGATCTAGTACCCTACCATCAGTCTTACCTGCTCTTCCTTACATTCTGCTTAGGCTGCTAGTAATGTTAACTAAATTTAATACATTTTTGCTGTAAAAAACCTTTTAAGACCTGTTAACTCTCATGTGGTTTGGAATAATTCATGTTAGGCTTATCATTCAAGGTGAAATTTAAACCATGAATTAAGCAACTGTATCAGCAAGACTGAAGATGATCAAAGAGAGAAGTATGCTCTGAAAGCTGTTCATTTAGTTCTGTGGCTGTCCATGAAAGCAAACATGCACTGCCCTGTGCAAACAGCACGAAAGGAATTGCATTTTTTGCAGACTTAGCTCTATGGACTTTTACCCACACCTCCTGAGGACTCTCACTGTGTGTTGGACCCTATGAGTGTATATCTCAGTGACTGGAAGATATGAATAGAGGAGAATGGTGGTAGTAAGACATGACATCCTGGGTTTACATTCTACTTTCATTATGACTGGCAAGTCAGTTTTGCAATGACTGCTTATCTTTAGAAACTCAAGCAAACTTTAGCTGAAACTGCCTCAAAGTCACGTAGATTGTAGAGCTTGTACCATACATACTAGTGCTTTAGTTCAGTTCATTTTTTTCTTCTACTTTAGTGTATATATTGTGAATTATGAGGGGTATTTATTTTCCAGTTTGGAGTTTCACACTGGCTGACCCAACCTGTGAAAGAAGTTGTGTGCAAAGGTACCTTCTGGTGGTGTCTGCTGTAGGTTTTGGATTCATAATCTGAAAAATACTGAGCCAAACTGGTGGTGGAAGGATGCTTAGCAAATTAAAACTGAAGGTAGGCATTTTGTAGAATTAATGATTTCACAATCTTTATCTTTCAGGCTATGGTCGCTTGTTATCCTGGAAATGGAACTGGATATGTTCGTCACGTGGACAATCCAAACGGCGACGGGCGCTGTATCACCTGTATTTATTACCTGAATAAGAATTGGGACTCCAAGGTGAGTAAGACATGGGGTTGAGGCAGAACATGAAGGAAAAACTACTTCAGAAGCAGCTTTGGAGATGTCAGTTGTTTCTGTGAACTCTGGTGAACTTCTGAACAGCTGGTCCATTCTTCATATCTACTTTTGTTTTCTTGGTGTTTATGGCAAGCCTTTGGAAGTAAGAATTTGAACTGTTTCCTTATTATTCTCTCTACCATCCCGCACAAATACTATTTTGTCACGATAGAATAAAGGTTCTAAGCTCTGGGCTGTGTGCTCTTAACACTTTGTTTAGAGAAAACAGCAATGAAGCACTAGAAAGAAAAGCAATCCACTAAAGAATAAGTGGATTCTGTGGGCAGAGTAAAATGACAACCCAAATTTGTGACTTTATCATTCCTGGTACTTCAGGCTAAGCTGCAGTAGATCTTTGTGGTTTTCTTATTTATGAAGCAGTGGGACTTAGTTTGGTTCGTGCTTCCTGTCTTTGACTCCACCAGCACAAAAGCCTTGGCAGGATGGAACTCTTCTTTCTGCCTATATTACTATTAAGGCAATTATGTCAGCCTTGAATGTACTATACCTTTAAGTTTGAAACAAAATAAGGGTTTGTAAAGTTGCGAGATGCCTCTTTGCAATTCCGTTGTCATAATGAAGCACAAACCATTCTTGTGGATTATCTGTTGAAAATTGTCCTATGCTTTGTGCTTCTCTAACGTGACTTTAGGCCAAGATGCTCTTTAAGCACGTGTAATACTATGAACCTGTAATAAGTGAGTTCAGGTACAGAGGTAATGCCGCTGAGAAATGCCTTGTTGCAGAAAAACACATCCCTTTACAAAGAGTATGAGAGTGAAACACCTCAGTGTAATAAAATGAAGGAAGAGATATGGGAGGAAATGCAAATAGCCAATTTATTTTGTGCACTGCACCCTTATTTGAATGGTGAGGAATCACCCAAGTGGGCACTAAGAAGAGCTAACTGAAATCCAGGACACTGATGGAGTTTATTATGTAGGTGTAACAGTAATTTTATGCAAGTGTATGCTGGAGGAGATGCAGTGTAACAGCATAACCATACTGTGCTATGAAAGCAGCCACGTGGCTTTAAACTTGACCTAATAGTTTCTCCCTGAGGTCTGCATGCTGCTTGGAGGTACTGTGTCAGGTCAGTGCTGAGTTGACAGCGCCTTTCCTGTACTCTGTAGTGCAGCACAAAAGCCTTCAAAGAGCCCTCTAACAGCAGCATGGTGGAAGCAGGGTTCATCCTCATCTTTTGAAATTTCTGCAGTGTGTGCAGATCACCAGACATTTTTCCTGAAAATCATGGTGCATGGAAAGACTATATGGTAGAGAAACCGGGCTGTTGTAACCACGCAAAATGTGCGGATTGAGTGCGCGCTCAGTAAATTTGCAGACGACGCTAAGTTGGTTGGGAGTGTTGATCTGTCTGAGAGTAGGAATTTAGATGAATATGTGGGTGCTTATATGTGTAAAAAGCAACCTTTCCTTTTCTTCCAGCTGCATGGTGGAATTCTTCGGATATTCCCAGAAGGAAAGTCCTATGTAGCAGATGTGGAGCCGATTTTTGACCGATTACTCTTTTTTTGGTCAGATCGAAGGAACCCACACGAAGTCCAGCCTTCTTATGCGACCAGGTAAGCAGTGTATTTGGTATTGATATTTGGCCAAGAAAAAACCCAAAGCATCTCTTCTACCAATATTTGTATTTAAAATTATGGCCATCATGTGTTTAAGTACACATGTGGATAAAAAATACACAGATATCGAGTAAATTTTCTGGTTTTGAGTCCCTGGGAATTCTTTTATCAAATAAGGAAGAGCAAGCTAGAATGACAAGTTTCCTTGTGTGATTAAAAAAAAGGCCTTTAACCATTGACAGGAGAAATCTTTCAAGCCAGGCACAGCTGTTTAGCTGGGAGGTGCTGGGTTATTCTTTTGCCCTCATAACACTGTAGGGATTGTTGGGACTACCATCTGTCAGCAGGCTATGAAAACTGATGTGATGCAGGGCAACCCCCAAGCTGCCTACAGGCGTCCCATAACAGAAAAACATGCAAAGGTCTGTAAGCTACTTTTGCCCTCTGTTACCAGGGGCTGTGCTCTCTTTGGTGTCTCCAAGCAGAAATTCTCACCTATATTTCTATCTGACTTGATAAAATACACACTAAGATGCTGTCGCTAGATATCTACAAAGATATGCCATTTGCATCCTAATTTTTTATCCAGTTTTGTTTTTTGCTTTCTTCATGATTATCAAACTCCAGGACTCTGGAAACAAATGCGTGGTTTCTTTCTTTTATAGATATGCCATGACTGTGTGGTATTTTGATGCTGAAGAAAGAGCAGAAGCCAAAAAAAAGTTCAGGAACTTAACTGGTATGATTTCTTTTTTCATATATTCATGTTCACCAGAAAGAATTTAATGCATTTTGATATTTCCAAAGTCAGAGACAGATTTGGAATGATTTTGTAGCTAGAAGGGTATGTCATGCAGATTTAGAAAGCTTTTTCATCTCTAGTCACTAGTCAGTTATTTTATGCGAAGTGGAGAATTTGACAGAAGAAGATGCAGCTCTGGCCCTAGTATCCCTGATGAATGTGATGGGTAAAATAGGAGAGACAGTTTGTGATTTCTCTCCCGAAGGACTGCTGAGACTTTTTCCAAGCTCCAGTCACTGGGAGCCAGCTCTTCTTTTGTTACTTGGGAAGTATATTTTACCCCCTGAAAACCTTGTTGAGCACAAAGTTTTTCACTAACAGTTTGTGTTCTCTGAATGTTCTAGCCAAGTAGGGCTGTCTTCTATATTAATAATGGGCAGTTGGGGCCTGCAATAATGCAAAAGGCATTTGTCATTAATTTACAAATAATTCCTGAGTCAGGATATTCATAATTACCTTAGAATATGTAGATTATGGGTTGGAAAGAAACTAAGTTTAGAAATAGATGTAAGTGCATCTTCTGGCAGGCAGTGCTAGAGTAGCTGTGATCATGGTGCACTTCAAGAGCTACTTACATTTAACTGGGTCTCACAGATAGTTTAAAGTAAACCCAGAAAGAGGTGACCCCATCTTTCCTGATGGCAGCCACACTGCCTGCTACTGTAGTAATGATATATGGGTTATGGACTAAGCTGTCCAGATGTGCTTTGACACCCTTCCTGGGACCATGAGCAAAGGTTTTCTGTTTGGAGCAGTTTAAGATTTGGTCTTCAACAGCTGCCTCAGGCAGTTCTTCAAAATACAGTGTGGAGAGCACTTGTCTTTTTAAAATGTGTGCAGCTGTGTCCAGCAAAGTTGGTATTAGTCAAATGCTTATCAGAACAGACTGCTTGTCATCTCTTGCTGATGTGCAAAGCAAATACTGGCCTCACCCTTAAAGAAGATCATGAGCAAGGGGCCAAGGGGTGGGGAGTGGGGGAAGTATCAGTGATCTGGAGTCTGAAAGTTTGTTGGGCTACTTACATACTGCATGAGTAGTCTTCAGTTTCAACAGGACAGATGTACAATACCTTGGTGTGACTGTCTCATTAACTTGTTGTGGTATCATACAGAATTTCAGTCCACATAATGGATTCATATCCACTAGGAAATGGGAAGTGTTGTCCACTGAAAACAAGCAGACTATTCTGTTTCTGAGTTTTCAGATGAATAGTGTCAGAATACTGTATTTTAACTGCCTCTCCCTTCTTTTTGATATAGATGCAAGGAAGAGAGAAGCACCTCTTAACGAAGACTAATTAACTGTTCCTGAACTCTTTGTGAGGAAATAAGATCCCAAAGATGACTTCCATTTCCATCAAACAAGGGCAAATCATTGTTATGCACAAGAACACACTGGTTGTGTCTAGCATGTGCATCTTATCCTGATGGTACTTAAGGCAGCCTCCTGTCATGCTGCATCTGACAGAAGGAACACTTATTTTCTCTTTGCCTTTTGCTGAAAAAAGTAACCAGGGTTAAAAAAAAAAAGTATCACTAAGCCTAGTGGTAGTGACTCAGCCAACTGGCTTTTGATCACTCTTGTAACTAAGATAATGATCATTTGAACTAGTGGTAAAACCCTGAGTCTTATTTGCACTTTATGGGGGGGGGAATAAAAAAATCTAGCTCAATCGGAAGGAGCTTTACAAGTTTAAAATCTGTGGCAGACTGCTAATGGGCATGTAGGGATACTGGACACGTGAAATTAAACTGGATATTTGTAGAGTGTCATCTTATGGTCTGTCTCAAATGGACCTGTCAGTGTACTGTTCATCACTTTGTTGCACAGAACATTGGCTCAGCTCTCCAATAGCATGACTTTCCAAATAGATTTTTATCCACACAGTCATCGCATTTCCTGGATTTTTTGCTTTTCAAGAGGCAAGTTCTAGCTGTGCAGTTGAACTGACATTTCTGTCCCAGGACTGAGGGGAAAGTAGCTATGCATCTGTCCACAACTTTGTAAAACATTTCTGTTCTGAACAGAACCCTTAGTCCATTTATTTTTCACATTTTGGTAAAGCAGCTCTTTTCTCCCAAAAGTCTAGTAAACTTGGAAGGCTTATGGCACACAATGCATTGGCACTAAAGGCCAATGATATGTAGAGTTAAGTGTTTGCTTTATGCCTTCTCATCTGCTGTGTTTTGTATGACACAGATATGAATCTGAAAGGAAAAGATATGTCTGGCAGTCTGACAAATATATGATAAATAATAGGTAACTTAGACTTGATTTTTATGCTGCTTATTCTTAGTTAACGTATTTGTTTAATTTTGCATGCATATGTAATTTGAATGAAACAGCAATTCTGTTTCAATTGATCTGTTATGCCACAGAACTACTTCTGCTGTGCCAAAGCCATGAGATCAGAGTTACTCAATGGCAAAGCACACATTTTTTTTTCTCCATTATTTTTTAAAACTTACTAGACTCAATGAGTAACTGGTGAGCTATCTCCAATCTGTCTAAGGTTCTACAACCAGCATTTACTATGCAGTTCAGAATAGCTCTTGATGAAGCTGGGAGCTGGCAGTGGATGCATTTATCACTCACACTAATTGTTCTCAACCTAATAGACTCATATACATTCATTTTTGTCATGTTGTCAGTGTGTATGTCAGACCCTATTAAATGTTCCAAATAGATGCCCTCTTCAGTGTCCCATATTTTCCCATGCCACCTGCCCACAGTGGAGAATGTGGGCTGTCTGAACTGCTGGCCCCTGCACTGGTTCAAGATGCTGTGCTGGGTTGTTGTCCTAGTGCTGTATCTGCAGCTCAGCTCTGTTGCACTTGAGCTATGGAATGGAAAAGTAGTGTGCAATGGCAACTGTTAAGCATCAGTGACAGAAGGGTAACAGCTGCATACTACAGAAAAGAAATAACTTTCATGACATAAAAGATGATAATAGAAATGGAGTATTTTTAAAAGCAGTTATGTCTCTTAGAAAAAGGTTGGGCATCCTTCAGCCCATCCTTGAATTCTGAATGTAAATACAGTAGTGCTAAGTAACCCCTCATTGTCTCTAGCTTCTCCCAGAGAAGCTAGAGCCCGTGGTCTTATGGGCTAGACTTTGTTCAGCCTGACCACTGTGCACCTTAAGAGAGGAATATGAGGGAACATGTGTGATAAATATTCTTACAATTCAAGACTAGAAAAAGACAAATAATCTGGTAAATGTCCGTTAATGTTAGGAAAATCATTATCCCACTACAGTTCCTTCTAAGTAACACACCACAGACTTGAAGGACACTTAATGGTAACTTGAAATTCTCATTCTGCAATGTATGTGTGGGACAAGAAAGAGTTCGGGCTCTTCCTTGAGAGTGAGAGGTAACCCTTCAAAACATGAGAGGTGTTGAAAAAGGGGGCCCAGGGGATTATTTTTAAATGATGGTGGATTGCAACCTGTTGTATTACTATGCAAAGTTGATAACGGCATGTAAATTTGAAACTCCTATGTGATTTTAAAAGGAGCAAAATTAGCTAAAACAGAGCAGATCAAGTATTGCCTTGCCTTTAGAAACTGTAACCTTAAAAATGCACTAGAAAGGGATGTTACTATGCATCTTACTGGAGCCCAGAACAGTCGAAAAACAATGTGGTAGAAGGGAAAAAGTAAGGTACTTCAGTTACCACTACTGCTACTGCCTAATTTCTGCAGTGGTCAGCAACACGTGTGTGGAGGGTGGAGCATGGAGCAGTATGATTTCATTTATTGTAAAAAAAGTACATACTTTCATTTTTAGTTGATACCTTCCTCAGCTAGATAAAAGACAGAGCAATCATTCTGTGTCACAGAGCATTGTCTTTTTCTTTATTAACACTCATAATTGAGTGCAAAAAAGTTGAAGACACAGGATTTTGAAACCAATTGCTCAGTCCTCTGTTCCAGACTTTTACTCTTGTTTCCAGATGGAAGGGACAATCTCCTTGAGGATGCTGTAGTTTAATTGAGGGTGGGGTGTGGGTTATGTAGGAATACACAGGTTCAATGTTTTCTACATAGATTTCTCTTGCCTGTCTCTGGAATTGTTGCAAACTGCTCCATAAGAATGAAATTGTCTGAGAACTGTGGGGGAAGCAGGCTGCTGCAGTGGGGAAGGCATTTCAAGGAGGCACTTTGCTTGTGTATTGTCTTCATGGCAAGCTGTTTGAATCATACGGCTAAACTGCACCTGTCAGCCAGTTGTGAAAAAAGTGTGTTTCCTCTAAGGCATTTAGTTTTTAATCCTCTGAAAGTTCTGGTTTGTTTGAGCTTTTTTTTAACATTTAGACAATGTGCCTTCATTGTTCGTATCTATGAAGATGTTTCATGCCACACATGCATGTCATGCCAGTATTTCATGGCTCTTTATGAAATATGGTTGCCTTTTCAAGAACAGTTGCATGGGAAAAATGTGCAGAGCCACCAAGCCACAATTTTCAACATGTGGTTTTTGTTGTGCAGGGAGGAAAAAGGCCAGGAGACAATGCTGAAAATCAAAGAGACTATTTTTATGCTTAAACCTGTAACCACTGGCCTTTTGAGCAAAGTAGCCTCTAATAAATCTTTTTCTCTAGATTCCTTCTGGTTCTATGAGGAATGACCTCTACAAACTAGTGTCTAAAAGAGTCTGCTCTTTTTTTCTTCTGTCTTTAAACAGTTTTAGTCCTTTCCTATTGTTTTTAAAATGCTGGAATATATTATGTGTTTTTTGTTGTTGCAAAATAGCTGGCTCTAACACCACTTGCATCTAGAAGAAAATGTATCTATTTGCAGGCAAATAACTAGTTTTGACTCTGATGTACTCCCAGCAGATATCTGAAAGTGAGTTATGACTACATCTTCTCTTGTCAGGTTGTATGCTGGTCAACAATGCTGGCACTTAGCATTGGATTCATATAGAAACCCCTAGTAGTATTTTACCATACATCACATTTTGTGTTCCTGTTACTGTTAAAAAAAAAAAGCAGGAGTCAATAAACACTGGGTCATGTTAAACACTGTCCTGTGCAAATCTTTTCAGTCTTGTGTCTTACTGTGTCTGGGGTTGCAGTGGGTGGGTGCAGTGCCATGCAGGTGGATGTAGGGTGGTGGCACTGCAGAGGTGGCACCGAAATCTGTATCCATCACTGTCTTCTGCTGTTGGGGAGACCTTTTTTTGTTGCTCTCAGCTTGGCACGTTTCCTTGGTCACTTCCTGCTATTTTGAACTTATTTACCTTGCTAGTGACCCTCTTCTTGAAATGCCTGTTTGTTTTCACACTCCTGTTGAAGCAGATAACATTCTCACAATTCAATTGTTGTCTGATAAGTTTTATTTTTAACAGTGTTCACATCCTCCCCCTGCTACTTTTCCAGACTTGAGTCCCACAATTTTCTCCGTTGGCTGTGGGGGAGGCTTCTCTCTACTCCCACTAACATTGCAGTTGAATGAAAGCCAGGACATTTTCACTTGTCTGGTAAAGAGCTGTGAACTTTTTGATTACTTTGCAATATTATGAATAGTGAGAATTTCCCTTTTCCTATTTAAAAATATGCTTTCTATTGTGGAGGGCTTGGATTTGACTTTTTTTTTTTTTTGTTAAATAGGGGAGAGAACTCCAAATAATTTGCTATTTATTTAAGGATTTATTTTACACTGAGAAGTGCTTAGAGCATGTGGAGACCTAACAAAAGCAGAGAGGCTTCTCTTCTGAGCATGCTACTCACAGAGTAAAGGTTTGTAGGACAGCTCAAGAAGAAGCTGGCCACTGGCCATCCAGCTGCCAAGGCCTTTTCTCTGAACTCTGACTAAACTTTCTCTAAGCAAATATGTTTGCAGTAATTGTTATCTTACAGCTATTTAGGGGTCTCTTTCCTCCCCCACCTACCCAAAGGGATATGGCTAAATATATTTGCACTGACAATTCCCATGACTCTTGAGAGTGGATCTGATATCAGAGGTTGCACTGAAAATTGCAAAGTAGCATGCCATTGGAAGAGGGGTTAGTAAAAATTGATTCCCCTTTCCCACATAACATCTCTAAGGAGTACTTCCACTTCAGAGAGTTGGTAAAACTCCCATCCTCTTCCACAAAGCATAGATAGATTTTTTTTTTGTCTTGTGGAAAGCAGGGATAATTTGTTTTGCATGTGTGCTTATTTTAAACAAAGATGGAGATGCTAAATAAACTACACTAGGTCAATTGCAGTCAACATACAGTTCTCATGTGGTGGCAAATGTAGTCAATGCCAGCATGCCTTGTGCTCCCTTGCTAGGACACCCACAGCAGTAAATCTTCCTGTAGAGGAGAGAGAGGAGGCCGTTTGTGATCTCTGACCTTAGCCAATACCATGGACACTGATTTGGCAAGAGGGGAGTCAAGGTGTGGCTGGCTCTTAAAAGCCTACGGTATGGGGGGACCGGTGAAGAAGCATGGAAAGAAAGGCCCTGTAGGCCAAACCCGTAGAGCTCTGAAGATCACTTATGGTTATGTACAGCTGTTCTTAGTTCCTTTAATTCTGACATTTTCTCAGCTCAGCTGTCTTGTGCTTAAACACCTCAGAGCAGCAAAATCAGAACAGAGGTTTAAACTAGTGCAGTTGAGGAAAAGAGTTCTCCAATGAGTAAAGAGGCCCCT